CACTGGCTCTGAGGGTAAAGAGGCCTACAAGGTCGTTCTCCCCACCCTCTTACAAAACTCTCATTCTGAGATCTGGGGCAGTGAAGGGATGCGGGGATGTTCAGAGGCAGGAACACGGACAGGTAGGAGCAGTCTAGTCAAGGCAAGCTTCCTAGGGGTGGACTTGGAAAGGAATGGGCTCAGAAGACTGCGAGCAGACCAAGGAAAGGATGGAGGGTACACTGGGACGCTGTTTAGGTAGGTATGGTCCATCCTGGAAGAGGTAACGAAGAAAGAAAGAAGCCAACAGCGAGCAGGCGCTGACCTACGAAGCCAGTGACGAAGGCTCTGCCAGCCTAGGAGGCGTGGGCTGGTGACAGGAGCTTGTCTTCAGTGTGTTCCGGCTAAAACACGAGAACCGCGAAGGGCCGATGAGGATCATGATGAGCAGCAGACAGGGGCGCGCGGAGGCGGGGCCCGGGTGAGGGGCAGAGTGGGGGCAAGCGGCGGGGGGGGGGGGGGGGGGGGCGATGGGAAGACCGGAGGACGCTTACCTTCCGCCAGCACTTTACCCTGCCTGCCCATTTCGGTTCCTTTGATAATCTGGTTTCCGCGGGGACGGGGGGGGGGAGGGAGAAGGCGAGGCTGGGGGGGACTGGAGGGCTGGGGGGGGCGAAGTAGGGGGCGAGGAAGGCTGGGGGCGCCAGGGACGAGTGGCAGCGCGAGGTGTGGCCGTGCGCGGCGGGGGTGGGCGCGGGGCGCAGTCGGTGCGGGGCGGGCCGCGGCGGCGGGAGGGGAGGGGCGGGCTCCGCCGGCACACGCCGCCCCTGGCAGGGGGCCGAGCGCGCGCGAGGAGCCGCCGCCGCCGCTCGGGGTCGCCTGCAGCCCCAGATTCCCGAGCGCTCGGCCGGCATGGCAGCCACCTCGGCGCCGAGCCCCGCGGCCAGCTAGGGGCGGCCCTCGGCCCAGCCCGTCGGATCCCGCTCGACTCTGCGCCCCGGGGACGCGTCGCCTCCCGACCGGAGGTGAGAAACCAGGAGGACACGGGCGCGCGTGGGGACCCCAGGCCCGAGCGCGGCGGAGCGAGCAGGGGGATGAGAGCCAGGCCCGGGTGGGTGGGTGTCGGAGGACCCGGGCGGAGACGCTTGCGGACCGGCCGTGGGAGCTGTTCCTCCTTCCCCCGGCTGCCACGTCCCGTCGCGCTCGCCTCCCAGCGCTGTCCCCATCCCTGCGGACCCCTCCACCCGGACCGTGATCCCAGCCCCGGCCATTCCCGCGCTGCGGCCACGCTGGCCGCTGCCCATCCTCGGCCTCTTTCCCGCAGATCTGGCTGAGGGGTTCCCTCGCCTGCTCCTTCCTTCCTCGCCTCTGCCCCTTCGCTCCCCACCCCGGTCTTCAGTCGTGGAGTCCCTCTCCTCCGGCTCCTGTCACTTGGAACCAGTATCAGTGCCGCTATCCCAGGGTCCGGCCGCCTCCTAGCCAGTGCCATCCCACAGGTGTCTACACGTCTGACCGTTCGTCCGTCCGTCCCTCCTGGGGCCGGAACTGACCATGCCCAGCGGCTGCCGCTGCCTACATCTCATGTGCCTGCTGTGCATCCTGGGGGCAAGCAGCCAGCCAGCCAGAGGTGAGCTCGCCCCAGGGATCCGGTCGAGGCCCGGTTAGCCGACCTCGCTGGCACGTTGACCTCTGCCGGCTAGAGACGGCACTGCAGCCGTCTGGCTGGCGAGTCGAGTCTAACTCCGGAAACCTCTGCCTAGTACCGCGTCCCAGGAAGCTAGACCCTGACCCAGACTCACACCTACTACACCAATCTCTTTCAGCGGATGACTGCAGCTCCCACTGTGACCCGGCCCACGGCTGCTGTGCTCCTGACGGCTCCTGCAGGTACTTCTGCACACGCGCTCCCACTTTTCGCCTCTCCATACCTGTGAGCAGGTCAAAAACCCGAAACAGCGTCTAGGCGCTTAAGACCTTATTGTCTGTTTTCACACAGCAGAATGACCAGAGTCCCCCTACCCCGTCTTATCTCATTTTGCCCTGTACTGGAGAGCTTGGATACCCGAGTTTTTATTCTCTCAAGGGCTTTGGTCCCTCATGGTGCCGGTGGAGACGCCTGAAGCTTGGAAGTTTAGAGACCGGGAGCCACAGGAAAGAGGAAAATGAAGAGAAGTGTTGCTTGGGAAGAAAGGCTCAGGGAGGATGGGTGCTTTCTTAGGGAGTCCTGCATTCGGCTCACCAGGCCAGAGTGGGCAAATCCTGCTACAGAAACGTTTGGACACAAGAAGTGAGCTCAAGTGTAGTATTTGAAACTAGACATCCTTGGAGGACTTATTAAAAAATCACCTGGCTCTGACAAGCAAAATAAAACACCAGGAAGACAGTCCTGGTGACCTCAGAAGGTCACTCACTCTTTCAGATGTGTGTCACCAGACACTCCAGGGGTGGCACCAGAGGCCTTTACAGACACTGGTTCGTTTAACACCCTTCAAGGGAGGTGTTTTCTCAGCTTCCACGTGAGAAAACAGATTATGAAAAGCTAGATTAAATGTAGGTGCTGAACTTGAATGAAGGTGTCTGTCTGCATAGTCCTCCACCTACCTGGGGCTGGTCTGCCTTCCCTTTGGGGCTGTTGTATATCCTACTAGTCCTAAAAGCTCTGGTTCTCTCTCTCTCTCTCTCTCACACACACACACACACACACACACACACACACACACCCTGATTCTGTGTTTTTTCCCCCACCAGATGTGACCCAGGCTGGGAGGGGCTGTACTGTGAGCGTTGTGTGAGGATGCCCGGCTGCCAGCACGGTACCTGCCACCAGCCCTGGCAATGCATCTGCCACAGTGGCTGGGCAGGAAAGTTTTGTGACAAAGGTAAGATGGAGGAGCTATTGGCTATAGCGCCCATGTGTTCTAGAACATCCGTTAATATTTACTACTTACTGAACACCTACTGTGTCTTGTTCAAATCCTATAATATATCCTTACTGATCTCATCCTGTGATGTTGGAAAGACAGCTGGTAAAAAAAAAAATTGTACCCATTTTAAACATGATGAAATTACAGTCCACAGAAGGGCTGTATCCAGTTTGATCCAGGCAGCCAGAGCTGAAGCCAGGAACTTCCAGAACCCAACTTCAGTATAGCTTTCCCCAGCATACCACACTGGCCAGGGGCTGGGTCTAGAGTGTGAGCCACATTCGCAGAGCGTTAGAGCTGGTCCCCAGTGGTCCTGGGGACCAGAGGTGAGGGGCTGTCCCACCCTCTTCTTATGTCCCCTCTAGACGAGCACGTGTGTGCCTCACAGTCACCATGCCGGAACGGAGGCCAGTGCGTGTACGATGGAGGTGGCGAGCATCACTGTGTGTGCCCGCCAGGCTTCCATGGGCGTAGCTGTGAGCGGAAGGCTGGACCCTGTGAGCAGGCAGGGTGAGTGCTGGGACCCTGGGGAAGCTAGACTAGAATCTGGTGGTGAGGGGAAAGGCAGGACTATCAGTAGAGCAGAAGGCTGAGAGGCAGACCCCGCTGGGGTAGTGTGTCGGGCTCACACTGTCAACATTTCCTTTCTATTTTATGTGTATGAGGGTTTTGCCTGCATATGTCTGTGCACCACATCCGCACTTGGTACCCAAGGAGATGGTGAGCCTCTGTGTGGGTGCTGGGAATCGAACCCAGGTCCTCTGCACCAAGAAGTGCTCTTAACCACTAAGCCAACTCTCTAGCCCCCCAGATTTTAAACCTTATTCATCACACAGATGGTGCTTTGGCGGGAGGGTGGCATGGGGAGAGAGGCTCCTGGGATTCCCTTTCCTTCCCCACAAAAGCAGACATGCAGCCTCAAGAGCTGGCTCTTCCTGCGCATTATGAAACGGCCACAGGGCTGGACTTGCCCCGTCTCCCTGTCTCCCTCCGCTACTGGCCTAAGAGCCCATGCACATAACACGGAGCACTTCTCTTGACTTCCAGCCTGACCATTACATGACCAAACTGCTTGGGCTCTCTCATTTACCCACACGGTTTTAAAAATAAGGTTATTTGAAACTCAGAAGGGGCAGCCCAAGGTGACACAGGAAGAAAGGGATGTCAGTGGTCAGGACACTGACCGGCAAGGTGACACCAATGTTCTCTCCCGCCTTAGCGCCCCATGCCGGAATGGTGGGCAGTGCCAGGACAACCAGGGTTTTGCCCTCAACTTCACATGCCGCTGCCTGGCAGGGTTCATGGGTGCCCGCTGTGAGATGGATGTGGATGACTGCCTGATGCGACCTTGTGCTAATGGTGCCACATGTGTTGATGGCATAAACCGCTTTTCCTGCCTCTGCCCTGAGGGCTTTGCTGGACGTTTCTGCACCATCAACCTAGACGACTGTGCCAGCCGCCCATGCCAGAGAGGGGCCCGCTGTCGGGACCGCATCCATGACTTTGACTGCCTCTGCCCCAGTGGCTACGGTGGCAAGACTTGTGAGCTTGTCCTACGGGCCCCAGACCCTGCCACCGTGGGCCCACAAGTGCCCACCTCAGCTGTAGTTGCACCTGCCACAGGGCCAGCCCCCCACAGTGCAGGGGCAGGCCCCCTGAGGATCTCGGTGAAGGAGGTGGTGCGGAGGCAGGATGCTGGGCTAGGTGAGTCTAGCCTGGTGGCCCTGGTGGTGTTTGGGTCCCTCACTGCTGCCCTGGTCCTGGCCACTGTGTTGCTGACCCTGAGGGCCTGGCGCAGGGGCATATGCCCCACTGGACCCTGTTGCCTCCCAGTCCCACACTATGCCCCAGCTCGGCAGGATCAGGAGTGCCAGGTTAGCATGCTGCCAGCAGGATGCCCTCTGCCACCAGACCTGCCCTCTGAGCCTGGCAAGACCACAGCCCTGTGATGGAGGCAGGGGCTCTCTGGCCCCGTCTGTCCGCATCTTCTTAACACGTCAGACTGGAGGTCCTTCCTCACCAGCCCGTGGCTTTGCTCTACCCTTCCAGGGGATTTCAGCCTCACACCAGAAGTACTATTTTTTTAAAAACACAGAATGTAAGATAGGAATTTTATCAAATAAAATTATGAAAATGAAAATGGGCTTCTACGGAAGAAAAACTGGTCCAGGGCTCTGGGTGAAGAGGCCCATAGTGGGCCAGTTCTGTTCTGAGGAAGCCGGAACCTTCAACCCACCTATGTGTGGCTTGCATGGAGGAAACCAGGGTGGCCTTTCCATCTGGGGAAGTGGAGGAGAGGTAGAACCACAGAGGAAATGTAAGCAGGCAGCCCTGGCGGGAAGGAGCAGAGGGCCCCACAGAGGCTCAGGGTCCTGCAGGGAGGGAGTGGGCTCCCCGCTGGCTGCTCTGTAGTAGCTGCTGGAACAGTGACTGGGACCGTTTGCGTAGGACAGAGGGCGAGTCCAGCTCTACCACTCTCCCGGCTTGGAGCACCAGCACCCGGTCAGAGTTTAGGATTGTGTTGAGCCTGTGTGAGAGAAGATGGGGTACAGTGCCCTAAAGAGAAAGCTGACCCGATTTCCCTCCAGACCCCTGCAGACTGCAAAGGCTTGTCCCCTACCGGTTACAGTCCCTGAGTCTGTGCTATGGGAAGAATGGTAATGTTTTCCCAGATAATATGCTACCGAGAGGGCCTGGAGCGGTACCTGAAGGAACAGGAGCTGAGGTCCCCAGGCCTTGACCCCCTGCCTAACTCAATGTTGTCCCTGGAGTCTGCTCTCCCTGGGGGGGGGGGATGTCCTTGCAAGGGTCAGAGGTCTGTGCCTCTGCTGCCCCGGAGCATTCTCACACCTGTGGGCAATAGTCAGCACTGTCTTGTTGGCAAAGCGTTGGCAGATGGTTTGCTGGAGCAGCTGGTCTGTCTTCTGGTCCACACTTGCTGTGGCCTCATCGATGCACAAGATCTGGACCACACGGAGGGGAAGCAAGAGAGGGAGAGGGTAACCTAGCTACAGTCCCCCACCTCCAGCTTTTCCCTGGGAACTCTCCCGCGACACATCCCTGCCTCTTGGACGCCTCTTCCTGCTGTCTTACCTTGGCATCTGTAAGAAGAGCCCTGGCCAGACACAGCAGCTGCCTCTGTCCCAGGGACAAGTTCTGGCCCCTTTCACCCAGCTCTCCATCCAGACCACCTGGAAGCAGAGCAGAGCATCTCCACTGCCGCTGGGCCGCCCTTTGCATCTCAGATGCTCCTCAGGCCAGCGCCCAGAACTCACCCACAGCAACGATCACCTCACGCAAGTGGCACTGCTCTAGGGCTTGCCACAGGGCCCTGTCCTCATGTAGGCCCTGGGGGTCCAGGTTCTCTCGAACAGTTCCACTGAACAAAAAAGGCTCCTGGGGGATGATGGCCAGCTGGGATCTGGGGAACAAGGACATGCGGGCCAGGCTGGAGATGTGCCCATCGTCTCGTGGCACGGGTTTACCTATGGGGCCTGGCACTTCTAAGGAAATCTGGGGATGGGACCCAAATATCTCTCCCGCTGCTCCCTACCTTTATCCAGCAAATCATTAGTCAGCCACATGCCTATAACAACACTGCCACTATACTGTAAGAAGTGCCAAGGAGATAAAGGCCTGGACTCTGGCCTTAAGGGATTACAAAGCCAGAGAACCAGCGGGCTGAACTGTGGTACTGACCCCAGAGACAGCAGAGGTGAGGCAGTTAGTGAAGAGTGGGGATGGGATGGAGGTGCTTCTAAGTGGGAGGGAGCCAAGGAGCTAGAAGGTCGAGCCATAGAGAAAACCATCACAACTTGAGACAGGACAGAGAAGGCAGGGCAGGGAGCTGTGGGCTTAGGATGAAGGTTCTTTAGCCTTTCCGTGTTGTGGAACTGGGGGGAAATGATGCTAAGTTAAACTGGGAATGGGTTGGGGCATCTACAGCTTCAGGTGAGGTCATTTGTGCCAAGTACAACTGACCCAAGCCCCAAGTTGCCCTTTTACTGCCTGCCAAACCTGAGGCCTGCGGGCTCCTGAGAGGCTCTGCTTTAGAAGCCAATGGCTAATGTTTGGAATGGAAGGTGCATTCTGGGAAATGCAAGAAGATGAAGATGGAGATGCACTCAAGCCAGGGTCACAGCTTACCTGTCCTCTCCTGTCCACCTCATCTTCCTTTTCTGCTGATTGGCTGCCCTGAGTTTCCCTACACCCTTCCAGAGTAGTTCCCACCGCCCTCCCCCCCCCCAACCACCTGTCCCCCAGACCTGAGCTCAGCCAGCTCCAGCTGACTGGTGTCCACACCGTCTAGCAGCACCCGCCCTGCGCTGGGCTCCAGCAGCCGGAAGAGCACCATAAATAGGGAAGACTTGCCGGAGCCGGTGCGGCCTACAATGCCCAGTTTTTCTCCAGCTTCCACTTGGAAGGTCACCTTGTCCAAGGCATTTGGCAGCCCCGGCCGATACACCAACACCACGTCCTGGAACTCCACACTTCCCTGGGTCAGCCACCTGATGCCCTGCTGGGGTGTCTGTGGGAAAGGGGTAAGGAAAGAATGGTGACGAGGACAGAGTCGGAGGATGGGAAGAGGGGATGAACCAAGAGTGGCTGGTGTGACAGATAGCAAGGGGAGAGAAAATGGTGGTAGGCCAGTGACGAGGTTCAGGAATGTGAAGACGGCAAGGAGCTAAAGGAAAGGAGCTGGGAAGACTGGAGGACCCCTCCCCACCCCACCCCTCCCCAGGGCCAGCAACTCCAGCCTGGGGCGGCAGGGCGGACTTACCTGCAGTGGCACGCCTTGGGGCTCCTGGGGAATGTCATGGGAATACTCCTCCAGCCGCTCGACGCTCACCATCATGGCTTCCGTCTGTGTGAAGCTGCTCACCAGGCCCGAGAGCAGGCCCGTCAAGGACAAGGCATAGGACAGCACAAGGCCCACCAGCCCTAGGGGGAGGAATGGCATCTGTAAGGGACACCTGGGCACGGAGCAGTGTGTGGGCGTTCAAGGCAGAGGGGCGGGCAGATGACAGAGAAGGCCGGGTGGAAGGGCAGGCAGGAGACTAAGGAGGGACAGGGCAGAGTAGAAGGGCTAGGGGTAGGCGCACGGAAAGGATGACCACAGAAGGCTCGGTCTGCCCCAGGCCCACCACTCCTGTGGCTTTCTTAGATTAAAGTGAGGTGACGACGGAGTGCTGGAACATTCCTCACAGGGAACCTACTCTGGGATGGGGGTGACGATGGTGCAGGATGGGGGAAGGAGACGTGCCCGGGGGTCTGCTCAAAGCTCTGGAGTGAGCTACTCCTGCAGCAGGGTGACGGGCCCCAGGGTGCTCTCTGGAGTGAGCTACTCCTGCAGCAGGGTGACGGGCCCCAGGGTGCTCTCTGGAGTGAGCTACTCCTGCAGCAGGGTGACGGGCCCCAGGGTGCTCTCTGGAGTGAGCTACTCCTGCAGCAGGGTGACGGGCCCCAGGGTGCTCTCTGGAGTGAGCTACTCCTGCAGCAGGGTGACGGGGCCCAGGGTGCTCTCTGGAGTGAGCTACTCCTGCAGCAGGGTGACGGTCCCAGGGTGCTACCTGGGTTGGCAAGGCCCTGTTGGTGCTGCACCAGGGCGATGCCCGCGATGGCGCTGACCACTGCTGCTCCCATGAGCTGCAGTCGAATGTCCAGCCACTGCACCATGGCACAGGAGGCAAACTGGCACCTCTGGTTTCGCTCCAAGAGTCGCTGGTTCTCCTCCTCAAACCTAAAGGAGACCAGGAAGGAAGGGAAGCCACTCCCCTGCTGCACTGACCTCACCCCTTCCCTGCACCCTTCCCGGAGGCTGACCAGACCCACCCTGCTCCACGTTAGTTTCCCCTGATTTTCAGGGTTTCCCCAGTGTCCTCTCGCCCTCTGTCTCCCCGAGGAGGACAGGCCCCTTTACTTCTAACCCCTGTTCTGTATGCTCCCTCGTTTCTTCTGCCCCCCCCCCCGCACCCTCCTGACTCTGGCTGGGAGATGTACCTGTAGGTGGCCCCTGAAGCCCGGAGCACCGGGAGGCCTGCCAGGGTGTCAGCTAGGTGGGTGTAGAGCGGAGACAGGGTGAGGCTGCCCAGGCGCCGCAGCTCTCGGAAGGAGACCCTGTATTGGCCTTGGACTCGGTAGTAGATGAAGCTCAGAGGTGGCAGGAGCAGCAGCAGCCAGGGCAGACCAGAACCTAACACAATCAGGAGGCCCAGCAGGCCCACAGAGTTGGCCAGCAGGATGTTGAGGAGGAAGGGCAGGCTGTCGTCCACACAGGCTACATCTGAGGAGAAGCGGTTCAAGACTCGGCCTGAGGGCGTGGAGTCAAAGAAAGTCACTGGTGCCTGGAAGAGGGAGGTGGTTGGGCAAGGTCAAGGGCTGAAGAGAATGGATGGATGGGCAGCTTGGTGAGGGGTGAGGTAGGAAACATGGCCTGCAGTAAAGAAAAAGAAAAACATACCCCCCAAAGTGTGGGAATACAGGAATTGGTGGAACTTGAAGGGAACTATCTCAAGGAAAGAAAGATCCAGTTCCTCAGGCCAGTGGCAGCCCAACAAGGCCATGAAGCATTCACCACCCTCTGGGTTGGACATGCTTACCGCTCCTTCAAGAAAAGAGCTACTCTCTCTACAAGACGGGCACTTTAGGCCAGCAAGTGAGCCTTAGATGTCAGGAGGAAAGCCCTGCCTGTGACTGGCTGGAGAGTGGCCCTGCCAGTTAAAGGTGTGGTCAAGGACCCAGGTTCTGAGCCTGGCCATGTCTGTTCATGCATAGAATCCCAGAACCTAGAGGTGAAGGAAGAGAACTAGGCACTCAGGGCCATTCAACTATGTAGTAGGACAGACGCAAAAAGAAACCCATGTCAAAAACACAAATCAAACCAAAACCCAACCAAAGCTCAGGTGGACTTTGACTGAAACATGAATTCCAGGCCTGACACGTAGGAGACATGAGACCCCAGGCAAGTAATGTGTTTCTCTCTCCAAGGGTACTGAGTCTCATCTTAAAAATGGAGCCAACAGGGTACTTATTCCTCCTACTCTAGGGAGTTCTCACTTTTCCATAAGACATCTACACGCAATCTGTATTAAGAAATATGGGGCAGTCAGGCTTGGTGGCACACACCCAGCACTCAGGAGGCAGAGGCAGGTGGATCTCTGTGAGTTCAAGGTCAGCCTGGTCTACACAGCAAGTACCTGGCAGCCAGAGTTGCATAGAGAGACCTTTGTCTCCAAAACCAAAAAGTGAGGCTAATAATGGAACCCTATGTCACAGGACTGCTACCAGAATTAAAGCCCTTATGTGACGCACAGGATGCTTGGCTTAAGTGCTCAGTAATTGCTACTTGGACTACAGTTGGGAGTTACAGCCTCCCCCGGTTACTATTCTTTTCTTCCCATTTTTTCTTTCTTTACTTTCATCTGCGTTTACAGTGGGGACAGTCTTACGTAAGGCAAGGGACTAAATCAAATGTCCTGGAAGTGACTCCCAGGGCATACTTAGGAGAAATTAGTTCCCGCAGAGTCCAGTGTCTTCCTTGGCTCATGGAGGAGAGGGAGAACAGTGGGTGTCTGCTCCCTAAGCTTAGGCAGATTCAAACAGTGGCAGGTTCACGGACTGCTCAGCTCTTACTTCCCTCCCTGTAAAACGCGGTTATTGTGAGACCATAGCCGGCTGAGAAAGGGCTCGGGAATGATAATAGCTAAATGAGCCTGGGTGTGGTGGTGCACACCTATAGTCCCACTACGCAGGAGGGCAGAGGCAGGAGGATCAAGTGCTGGAGGCCAGACTGGCCTTTCCTCACAGTGTTTAGTGAGAGCCTGTTGCCAATAAAATGAAATAGAATATTAACTAAATGAGCACTTATTTGGTGCCAGGCATTACCTTAAGCACGTCCCATATGTCAATCAATTCAATTCTTACTGTATAGATGAGAAAGCAAGGAACAAAATGAACAATAGCAATGCATCTTAATTTTACTTTTTTCAAAGACAAGGTCTCACTCTAGCACAGGCTGCTCTTGAGCCCACTATGTAGCCCAGGCTGGCCTCAAACTCAAAAGATTCCTGCCTCAACTTGGTCTACATAGTAAGTTCCAGGTCAGCCAGAGCTGTGTAATGAGACACTCTCAACAACAATAACAACAATACATGCACAAGAAATAAAAATTTAAAAATACACGTGCACATAAAACACAGGCATTCTGTAATGGACAAATAAAAAGAGGTAACATGAAATGCCCGTGTAAGGTTGCTTGTTAAGGAAGGGAAGGGAAATACAAACAGCACGGACATAAAGGGAAAGAAAGAACACAAAAGAGAAGACGGGCCTTGCATGAACCACAAAGCCAAGCCTGGGCACCTCAAGTCCAAGGTGGAATTCCGAGGAAGGTTCTCCTATTCACCTTTGTGGCTGAAAACCGACAGGCTGAAGGCACTAGACTCAAAGCCATCCGTACTCACCGTGAGGAGCCGATGCAGCGGGCGGTGGTGTAGTGTGACAGCTGCTTGGAGGGCACCTGCTGCAAAGAGCACTGCCCGGAGGAGGGTGCAGAGCGAGTTGGCGCCAGCAATGGCCGCGTACACGGTGAGGTAGAAGTGGACATCCGAGGAGCCATTGGAAGCAGCTCTGCACAGCGGGATGCTGAGTAGTGAGGAGGGAACCATAGGTAACCCAGAGAAGGCTCACTCAGGGGTCCCTTCCCCTGTCTAGGGTCACCTCTTCCTTCCCACCCTCTAAGAGACACAGCTCCAAGCCTGCCCTTCCTCCCCAGCGGTTACGGGAGAGCACCAGACCTGCTCCCAGCCGCAGCCACTCACTAGAAGTTTCTGGAGGAGGAGAGAAGCAATGGTAGGGAGAAGTCAGCTGCGGAGCCTGGGCTGGAAGGAGCCGGACCTTCCTTGGAGCTATTCCTGGCTGTCTTCAGCCGGGAGAGCCAGTAAGAGAGCCACCAATCAGCACCGTTGCGTGTGGCTGGGCATGGATGGGAAGGGAGGAGTTGCAAAGACTCATCTGCTTGGTTCTACTCAGACATCCACATCCTCTGTCTGCAGCGGAGACTCCCTCTCCTGCACTCCACCCTTGGTCCTTCCTATTGTACCCTGTTCCCAGCCTGTCACCCATCAGCTCCCTGGACAACATGGTCAGTTTTGCAGATTGGAACTTGCCTAGATGGCAGTTCAAAAGATAGCTGTAGAAACGCAGTGTGGTAGTGCGTACCTATCATTTCCATACTCAAAAGCTGAGGCTGGGGGATTGCAAATTCAAGGCCAAACCAACCAACCTGAGCTGCACAGTGAGACCCTGTCTCAAAACCATAATAATACAGCTTTTAAAAAGATGACTATGCAGTGGTGGCCCACACCTTTAATCCCAGCACTCAGGAGGCAGAGGCAGACGTGTCTTAGTGAGTTTAATTAAGGCCAGCCTGCTCTACAAAGCAAGTTCCAGGACAGCCAGGACTGTTAGCACAGAGAAACCCTGTCTTGTAAAACCAAAAAGATGACTATTATAGGGACTGAAGAGCTGGCTCAGCAGTTAAGAGCACCTGCAGCTCTTACAAAGGACCCAGGTTCAATTCTCAGCACCCACATGATAGTTCCCAACCATCTGGGTAACTCCAGTTCCAGAGGCCCTGACATCTTCTGACCCCTGTGTGCACCAAGTGCACACATAAGGTGCACAGACATGCAGGCAGGCAAAACACTCATACAGAAAATAACATTTTTAATTAAAAAAGAAGACTACGATGGAGTACTAAGTCTAGCTGACCACTGGAATCCGTAGAACTGGGGCACATTTTTTTTTTTTTTTTAATCAACTGTTGTCTATGCATGGTAAGGTTCTAAGCTTGTGGTGAGTCTAAGGTGAACATAGCCATGAACCCTTGGACAGCATGGCTGGGGATGCGGTGGAGGGGCGCAGGTAAGGACCTTCCGGGGATGGGCTTACCTTGCATGAGAAGCAGAGAGAGGAGGGTGGCGATGGCCAGGCCGCTGCCCATGGCCCTCCAGTACGCTCCGTACACATGCAGGGCCACAGCACCCGTGCATTTGCTCTCCTCCTGCACCAGGCGACCCGATGCGTTCTCCTCCGCCTCCGGCCCCTCGGTTGTTTTCTCTAGGTCCCTTGCTGATAGCAACTTGCCTGTGAGGATCAGGAAGGCCTCAGAGGAACGATGCTTGATATGTGAATGTTTTACAAGAGCGGACAGGCTTTAAAAAACATTTCCACTGTGTGCTGATAAAAAGCAGAGTGAGTTCCAGGACAGCCAGGATAAAGCAGGGAAACCCTGTCCCGAAACACACACACAAAGAAAGCAGCTCAGGGCTGGAGAGGGGCTGGGCAGCCCAGCCTCTGACGAGTGGGACAGGGCCCTGCGTTTTACTCCTAGGACCTTGAGGGAAAACAAAGTAGACACCAAACTTTCCCGTGTGTGGTGACACACACCTGGAATCTCTTGAGTCCGATCTAGGCTACTTAGGAAGTTCAAGGCCAGCCGGGGCTGTGGAGTGAGACCCTGCCTCATGACTTCTATGACACACATGTAGACACAAAGAAAGAGGGTCTAATTCTAGGCCCTTCCTCCCACCTCTGGGCCATACCTGAGTCAGTCACTTGTTCCTCCTCAACCCAGGCTGTGGGGACAGCTTGAACCAATGGTAGAATCTCAGAGGGAGGCCCTGGAAGGAAGAGGGGAGGAGGCTGCTATGGGTCTACCCCGGGCCTTTCTAAATGTGTGAGTAATCCACCTCCCCGTCTCTCTGGCCATTCTCCCTGGCCCATCTGAGTAGGGCCCATTAGGTGCACTGCTGCGCACCTGGACTGTAGCCAGCAGAAGTTCCACAGCCATGAGTGAGCACCTCCCCGCCCCCCTGCACCTGCACTGGAGTCATTGTCACTACTGCAGAGCCTTCCCACGTTCTCAAGTTCCTGATGTCCCAGCTGGGCCTCACTTCTTCCTGTTGATTGGCCAATGAGCTCTGCAGGTGGCCATGCCCCTCTGGCCCATAATCCATCAGAGCCCTGTGGTTCTTTTCTTACAAGAAGGGTGCTCCTTCAGGTCACTTCTCTGAAGCCACATGACTGCTCTCAAAGCTCCCAGGCAGCTAAGTTCTAAGAGCCTGGGTTCCTTGCCACACATGCTCCCTACCCTACCCCACCCCCGCCCCGCCCTGCCCCGCCCCGCCCCGCCCCATCCTCCTGTTTTCTCTTGCTGGTTCTGGGGCGGGGGCAGGAGGAGTTGAGAGCTGCACCCAGACAGTGTGTGGAAGGTTGGAAGGGTCTGCTCTGCAGGAGATGCTCCACCTGTCACCCCCACATCACACCAGGCTGAGCCTTTCCTCCACCACACTACCTGCTCGCACCAGGTGCCCGGCCTCCATCAACAGCACCATGTCTGCCCTCTCCAGGTACTCAGTGCGATGGGTGCACAACAGCCGGGTGGTATGGCTTAGCACTCCCAGGATGCACCTGTGTAGCAGGTGGTTCGCCACATCTGCATCCACAGCAGCCAGAGGGTCGTCAAGGAGATAGAATGTTTTTTCCTGGACAGAATGGGCATGGCAGGCACCATGGCCCGAGTTCTTTAGCTAGGCTCAGAGGCTTTCCTAGGCCCAGGTCTCAAGGCAATCAGAAATGGCGGGTGAGAACAAGTCTACAATAGTGGGAACGAGATGATACATGACAGACTTCCCTCCAATCGAGTTGAAGTCAGAGATGTGGGTCAGGTGCTTTGTTTGCTGGGACCCGGTACTTCAGGCCTTTATTTTTGCTTTGAAACTGAAAATAGGGGGCAGGATAGCCAATAACTAGGAACACAGAGTGAGGGAGGAAGAAACCAGATGCAAAGAAAAATATTCCTAGCCTCCACTCAGCCAAGCTCACATAGTGCTAGACCACTTCCACACCCCTGACCTATCAACCCACACACCCCGACTACCGTAATTTACCTGGTAGACAGCACGGGCAAGTGCAATCCGGGCCCGCTGTCCCCCACTGAGGGTCACGCCCTTCTCGCCCACCTCTGTCTGGTCTCCAGCAGGCAGGATCTGAAGGAACAGACAGCTAGTGGTTAACAAACGCCCCACACCCACATTTTCCTGCCCCTTTGTGGGAAAGGGAGAAAACGCGGAGATCAAAAGGCTGTATAAGCTTGAGACTGCCCTTCAGTTGGGATGAGGGGATAAACCCAATTCCAATACCTGGCCGCCACTGAATACTTTCTATGTACTAACACCTTCTAGGCTGTGGTGGTCGAATGGGAATGGGCCCCTGGCTCATCTGTTTGAATCGTTGGTCCCCAGTGTGGGGAACTGTTTGGGAAGGATAAGAGGCATTGCGTCGTTGGAGGAGGTGTGTTGCTGCAGTCGGTCGGTCTTTGAAGCACAAAAGCCAATGTTATTCCCAGTTAGCTCTCTTTGCTTTGTGACTGTTGTCTCAAGAGAAGACCTTTCCACTACGGCGCCAGTGCCATGCCACGCCTACCACGCCACGCCACGCCTACCCACCTGCTGCCATGCTCTCTGCTACGGTCATGGACTAACCCTCTGGAACTGTCAGGCCTCATAAATTCTCTCTTCTGTAAGTTGCCTTGGCCATGGTGTCTTATTTATCACAGCAGAACAAAAGTATTCAGGAATTGTATCATTTGAAGCCCGATCTTATAAAGTCGGCATCCTTTCCTCTTCACAGATGGGACCAGAGCATAGGTAGGTTAACCATCCTGCCCACAGGATGTGCAGCAAATGATAAAGGGGCACAAGCTGCCCTTTGATCATAATCAAAGGCCTCCAGCCCAGGGAAGTTCCATATTTATCTGAGCGGGCTGGTGGTAACAACAGTCCTAGAGGGACCATGGGGACTGGATGGAGAATTAATTCACGAGAAAAATCTGATTTCTCTCTGATGCGTTTAGCACTTGGCTTGCGGTTCTGGGGCAATCTAATGGGCTCAGCAGATTTCCCAAGGATTCTAAGCAAGACCTCAACTCTTCCAAACCTTCCTGGGTGGGTGGAGGCAAGCCTCGCAGAGAACCCGAGCCTAGTTCTGGAGGCCTCAGGCTCTTCTAGCTTCTGTGTGCAACACCCTCGGCATCCTCCTTGGGCCTTCCAGGCAGGTGGAGACCAAGCAGCTGAACACTCCAGGGGAACCCAGAGGCTGACTGCTTGCTCTAGTGTCGAGTGACACCCGTGCAGCCCTTCCCAGAGAAGTAAGTCCAGTCTGGAGTGTTAGGGACATATGGGAAAGCAGGAAGGTGAGGGTATCAAGACAGGGACTCACACTGAGATCATCATTGAGGGCGCAGGCCTCCAGCACCTCCATGTACAGCCGGGCATCAAATGTCTTCCCAAAGAGGATATTGTCTCGGATGGTGGCGCATTGGATCCAGGGCTCCTGGGTGGCCAGTCCAAAGCCTTTGGACAGCCCTGACACAGCCACCCACCCGCAGAGCCTGCAGAGAGCCAGGGCAGCATGGGGACCAGTTCCTCTTTGAGTCCTTGCATGCCCAGGCCCTATCTCCCGGAAGCTCCCTCAGATGTGGCTGGCAGCCTCTAAGGTCAGGGGTTCTAGCTGTAGGCTCACTATGGAATGGAGAAAGCAGTTGTGTGGTTGCAGCCCAGCAGTGTCCTACAGACGCTGTGGAACTCAGGTGTGGCTCATCCTCACCCCCCCCATCTTCTAACACAATGACTCTACTTCAGCGGTTCTCAACCTGTGCGCCTCAAACCCAAGCCCATCGAAAAACACAGATATTTACATTACAGTTCACAATAGTAGCAAAATTACAGTTATGACATAGCAACAAAAATAATGTTATGGTCTGGGGGTCACCACAGCATGAGGAACTGTATTGAAGGGTCACAGCATTAGGAAGGGTGAGGACCCCTGATCTAGTGTGACAATGACTCCCTGCTCCATTTATTTAGCTAGTTTTGTCTGGTTTTTTGAGGCAGGATCTCATGTGTCCCAGGCTGACCTTGAGTTGGCTGAGCAGCCAAGGATGATTTAAATTTCTTATCCTCTTGTCTCCACCTCCTGAGTGCTGAGATGATAGATTTATACCACTATGCCCAGTTCTATGGGGTAGTAGGGATCGAACTCAAGGCTTCCGTACAAGTTAGGCAAGTGTTCTTCCAATTGAGCTACATCCCAGCCCAGATTTACTTGGACGACCTCTGCATCTCCAGGCTGAACCCTCCCTAGAAAGGGGCTAAATTTTGCCCTTTTTGGTACATGTGTCCCTCACCCCTCCACACACACATACACACTTAAGCAAGTCATTCCTATATACAGCAGGGACCCAGGGAATGGGTGCACAGTGAAGCCAGAGTCAGGGGCACACTGAAAGTTCATTACCTGTGGAGCTCCCCAGTGATGGCGGCCAGCAGCGAACTCTTCCCACAGCCCACCTTCCCCACGATGCCCACAAGCATGCCCTGCAGGGAAGCCACACATTAGAACTGCCTGATTGCAGGGAGAGGACACAACGGTCGGGGCAACAGACTCCCTCATGGCGTTCTGAACTGATGAACCCCCCCGCACTGGTGCCTGTCTGGGCCTCAGTTAAGTCTTAAACAACATGGGCCCCAGTGACCGCCTGCCTCTGCCTCTGCCTCTGCCTCAGAGAAACTGAGGCTCAGCCTCAATTTCACTACCTGTAAAGGCCTCTGAGGGAACAAGACCTGCCGGAGAGGAGGGGAACTCCCTCAGACTGCTGAGGCAGGCATGGGAGGAGGGGTCCCTGTCTCTGGGGCCACAGGGTCAGGGTACAGTTCCCACCACAGTGGGCAAAAGGCAACACTCTGCAACATGCCTTCCTGAGGTCTGAAACTGAAAACATTCTGTTCTTCCTTCATTTCTTAGTTGCTATATCCAGAGCTGTTTCCTGGCTTATGAAGAAAATCTAAGAACGTGCAGGGGCCTTTGCAGCTTGGTCCATGATGCCCACACTGTGCAAGTCAGGGCTGACCTCTCTGCAAGTGGGCAACCAGGCTGGTCTCTGATCTTTCTGGAAGTGAGGGATCCAGTCTCAGGCAGCTTCTTTCTTCTTGGCTACAGTCTACAAGTTGGAAGACTGGCTGCAATCACACTTCTGCTCACTGGAGAGCCCACAGACAGCATGAGGCCAATACACAGGCAGAGAGCCAAGAGCGCTACAAGTTGAGGCCTGGTTCTGGGCTGCTTCTAAGATCTGCGTTCTTGTTTGGACTCTGATTCATGTACGTATTCTTATTACAAATTCTTGTTTGCTTAAGCTAGCTCCAGTGGGTTTCTATTACTTCCATCTATCTATATGTAAAAAAAAAAAAAAAACCCAACACATTAGTAAAATTCCTTTGAAAAATTATAGCCTTGTCTTGCCTGAACTAAGAAGAAAACTAAAACATTCAACAAAAGCCAGAAACGTGAGCCAAACGTTGTAGAGGCCATTCAGCCACTTCTGGAGAACTCTGGGTTGAGACATGGGGCAGAGGTTAGACAAAGGTCAGGAGAGCAGAAACTCAGGACCAGAATAAAGAAGTCACTGTCCTGTCAGTCTTGCCTGAACGTCCCATTATGAGCTCTTTCCAGAGTCAGGAGTCACACGCATGGCTTTTTTTTTTTTTTTCATGAGACTAAATGGGGGACCACCTAAGCTATTTGCCAAAGTCCCTGGAAGGGGCTACTTGCCCTGTGTCCCAGGTTCCCAGCCTGAAATGATGGGGGAAAGCCCCGGGGTCGGTTCTGAGCCCTGCAGCTGGAAAGGAACACTGGAGAGGAGTCAAACCTGTGGACTAAGTGGGTGTGAGCCATCTATTTTGGGAGGGGCATCACCAGTGTGAGAAGATGGGATGGAGGAATGAGATGCTTGCATAAGGGGTCATCTTCCCTCAGATTGGAACCTGCACACCAAGCCCCACCCTCCCTCCCCTCCGGTAGAGCTGCATTAGTCCTTGTGTACCCCCTTTGGGCATGCTGCTTCCCGGGAACTCTCCCACAAACCTGTTTCACTTCGAGGTGACTGATGAAGGTCTTCCGGCTGATTCCAATCGGGTCCCACGAGAACAGGGCTTCATGCAGCTCCAGTACTGTGGATGGCTCTGTGGGGGGATCTGAACAGGGGGGAAGCCACTCATCCTATGCTCCTCATCCACCATTCATCTGCTGGGATGTAGTGGGTAAACAGTGGCATGCCACGGAGTCACCTATCCCTCATCTAAAGCCCATAGCTAATTCAGCCCGAGTCTGTTGTGTCTAGATTTTGTTCCTGACTTCTTTGGAAATTTCTATGCACAGTGTCCAAAAGGCTAAGGCTGGAGAGATGACTCAGTGGTTACGAGCACTCTTCCAGAGGACCCCACTTTGGTTCCCAGCATCTACACCATAAAGCACACTCCTGCTAACTTTAGTTCCAAGGCATCCAACGCCCTCTTCTGGCCTCCACGAGTATCTGCACACATGTGGTGTACATACACACACTCAGATACACACTTATACACAGAAAATAAAGTAAGTCTTAAAACAAAAGATATCACCCCCCCTCACCATGTTCTGGGTTCTTCCCTCTAGCCCCTCTCCCCTTACCAGGGCTGTAGTAGGCCTCAGGGTTGTAGTTTGGAAGGTCTAGGAAACGCTGGATCCGGTCCAAGGACACTTTGGATTCCAAGAGGCCATTGATCACCCAGGGAAAGTTGTTGAGAGGAAGAATGAGCAGGCGCACAAGCGCCAGGGCCGTAAACACCTGGGTGGGGTGAGGGAGGGCATTTACCTGAGCCTCGCTCTAGAGCAGCCCTGTGGACACATCTACAGAGCAAAAACAAGACAGCAGCAGGGCTGAGGACTTGGCTGTGCCACCCTGGGGTTAGAAATGGCAGAGGCCAGCCTGGTCTATAGAGCAAGTGCTAGGACAGCCAGGGTTACAATGACAAACCCTATCTTGACCCCCCACCCCCCAAAAAAGGCAGAGATGGCCATTCTAAGAATCCTAGAAATTCTAAATGTTCCTTAAGAATACAGGTTACTATTTTTGTTTGTTTGTTTTTTTGAGACAAGGTTTCTCTTTGTGACAGCCCCAGCTGTCCTGAAACTTGCTTTGTAGACCAGGCTGGCCTCTAATTTACAAAGATCTACCTGCCTCTGCTTCCCAAGTGCTGGAATTAACGGCATGTGCCACCATACCTGGCTGCAGATTACTATGTTTGATGCGGAGACAGATCCAGAGCCTCCTCAAACATGGTAAGCACAGACTCTGATGAGGAGCTACGAACTCTCACACATGGTAAGCACGGGCTCTGACGAGGAACTGCTCACAAACCCCCAAGTTTCTTTTGATAATAAGCACATAACCTAGTTCATTGGAGACTTTCCATGACCTCCAAGTGAAAACAAAGGCCAGACCTAACACTAGATTATGGGTCCCCTGCCCCAAAGACTATGTCAATAGAAATAGAGTGTTCCAACCCCAGTTAGATGGCAGCATGAGCTATACAGGGAGACCTTGCCTTTAAAAAATGAAAACAGAAAAACCACTTTTCCACAAAAGGACTTAACCCCACGTCTGGGCCTGAATGGAAGCTGAAGATAGGGGAGAGGAAGAAGGGAGTTCCTTCCCACACACAAAGAGCTATATATATATCTAAGATCACAGAAGAACTCCCCTCAGAGAGTACCCCATTTGCTGGAAAGGGACAGGGCAGCCAGGGTCCTCTTTCTTCCCCACCCACAGTTAACACTGAGGGCCTGAGCCCACATTTCTGCTCAGTACTAGCCCTTCTCATTTCTTCCTAGGGCCATCCTCTCCCTCTGCGCTGGCTGGTTTTATGTGGACCTGACACAAGCCAGAGTCATTGGAGAGGAGGGAATGAGACCCTGCCTCCATAAAAGCTGGCTGTAGACAAGCCTGTAGGGCAACTTTCTTAATTAGTGATTGATGGGGAGGGCCCAACCCATGGTTAGTGGCGCCATCCCTGGGCTGGTGGTCCTGGCTTCTAGAAGAAAGCAGGTTGAACAAGCCATGGGGAGCAAGCCAGTGAGCAGCTCCCTTCCGTGGCCTCTGCATCATCAGCTCCTGCCTCCAGGTTCCTACCTGCGTGAGTTCCTGCCCTCACTGCTTCTGATGATGAACTGTTATCTGGGACTGGGGCTGAAATAAACCCTCTCCTTCCTAAGCTGCTTTTGGTTATGGCACTTCATCACAGCAATAGTAACCCGAAGGCCCCTCCCCAGCTCTCACCTTGGTGGCAGTGAGCTGGTGCCCCATGAGGACATAGGTGATGAAGATGACGATGCAGATGACAACTGGCAGAGCAGCCCAGAGGTATACACAGGCTGCATCCAGGTATTTGATGACCCGAAGTCGTCCCAACTCTTGAGTCCGGTAGGCCTTTACTCGGTCCCCCAGAGCCTGCTCCCACCCAAAGAACTTGATGACTCGAATGCCGTTCAGCAGCTCTGTCATGAGCTGGAGTCAGGGACAAGAAAGTGGTGTCAAGTTGAGACACTGCTCACACACCTCTGCTTAGCTGCTGGGTGGGACTCTCCATCTGGCTGAAGGACCCCAGGAGCCCCTTACCTTAACTCGTGCATCCTTGTGGCCTAGCATCTCCTGATTGCTGACCATAATTCGGGTGGCGATCACTTTGTTGACAGGTACCAGCAGCAGCGCCAAGACCAACCCTGCCATGAACGCCATGCCCACCTGCTGGTACAGCAAGTAGAGGGTGATGGCCAGCTGCAGAGGCAGGCCCCAGGCCTCATGGAAGCTGCCAGCAAAGTTAAGCAGTCGCTCAGAGTCGGTGCCTAGTAGGTTCAGGGCCTCCCCAGTAGGAGGGCGGCTAGGCCCAAGCTGCAAGGCCTTGCGGTAGAGGATGCTCAGCACAGCCCCCCGTGCCTGAAGTGTCACTTTCCGTACCTCATACCCATACTGATTCTGTAGCACCGTACTTATCACAGCTCCACTGGCCAACCCCAGGACATAGAGCAGGCCATGGCTTAGGGGCTCTTGCCCTTCCTCCAGGAAGCCCACCAGCAGGGAGAGCAGCAGGGGCCCAGAGAACGCCAGCATGGTCCCCACCATCTTCAACAGTCCAAGGGCCAGGTAGCAACACCCGAAGGCCCCGTACAGGGCCCTCCACAGCTGGGCTCCCTCCTTCCAGTGTGCTTGGAAGGCACGGGCCAGGTAGGCGGGATGCAGCCTTCGGGGGAGTCGGCAGATGTCCTGGGGCTGCCGGAGCTCTCCACGGACTCCCCGAGTTAGCAAGGGTGCCAACCAGGCATAGGAAAAGCGTGATAACCAACTTTCTCCATCTTCAGCCACCTCTGTTTCTTGACTCTCAGAGGACAGGAAGGGTTCCTGAGGCCAGGGCTCTCGTGGCCCCCCAGGGGCTGCCCAGCCCAGTCCATAGGCCAAGACTGCTGCCAGCTGCAGAATGAGAAGACATACACGGCCCAGAGGTCCCGGGAGAAGTGGGGGCAGAAATGTGCCTCGTTGGCAATGCCACAACAGGGTCAGCACTAGGGCTGGGGCTGGGAGGAAGGCTGCCAGCGCCAAGGCCGAGGGTCCACGGGAGCGGCCATGAGGGGAACGAACCAATGCCCACAGGGCCAGGCTGTGGGTGAACCAGGCCACAGCTGTCACACACCCTGCCAGCACCTCTAGCCCTACGGGCCCTGGGGGTGATCCTGGTGGCAGAGCAACTGGAAGGAGGTCTAACAGCGGGAAGATAGAGAGAAGGAAGGAAGCTGCGAGTCGGAGGCGCCAACCAGGATTGAGAGGTAGGATGTAATTGGAGGTCCTGGGGGAAAAAGAAGACAGTAAAGGAGGCATGTCGTGGCTGACTCTAGGCTCAGACATGCCCATCACCTCCAACAAGCTAGATGAAATAAACTCCCTTCCCGGCCTGTGCGTGGCATCCCTGTCCTACTTTACCCTGGAACCTCAAAGCATTACAGGAAGCCTTCCCAGATTGCCCAATCCATTTTCTAATCTACCCACAGGCTTTCTGATTCATTCTTTTGTCACAGGTATTAACAGGTCTGAGTTAAGGTGGTATGTACAATGAAGATTCTCATTAGAAAAACCCACAAATTTTACACAAAGATAAATACTTTTTATAAAAAGGGCCCGCACGAGAGTACCCTAAACTTGCCTGAAGCATCCTTGGATGACGTGTGCTTATACACAGCTCTTGTCCTTTAACAGGAGAGCCTACATTACAATGCCTCAGACTCTGCTACTGTAAAGACTGGTGTGGGTCACTAGGTGACCTTCTAGCTCAAGAGAAACAAACACCTTTCAGTTCTAGCTATATCTCCTTAACATCACAAATGTTTTTCATAAACAAAAGTTTTACATTAAATCAAATGCAGGGGCTAGAGAGATGTCTCAGTAGTTGAGAGCACTCGCTACTTTTTCCAAGGACCTGAATTCAGTTCCCAGTGGCCATGTCAGGCAGCTCCAGAGGCTCCTCTGCCCTCTTCAGAGCTCCACAGACATGTCTGTCCCCACCCCCATCCCCAGACAGAATACACTTGAACACACACACACACACACACACACACACACACACACACATTAAAAAAAAAAAAAGAATCAAATACAGGCTAGAACCAGGTGTGGAGGTACACACCTTGCATCCCAGTACTGGGGAAGCAAAGGCAGGCGGTCAGTTTGGACTCTGAGTTCAAGGCTAGCCTGGTCTACTTAACACGTTCCAGGCCAGCCAGGGAACTACATAGTAAGATCCTAAAAAATGAAAAGAATAATCCTCAAATACAGGCTGGGCCTGTGGAGCACACCTGGTAACCCCAGCAGCTGGGAGGTAGGACTGTTAGCTTAAGGCAAAATTGGCCACCTCAACATTTCTCTCCCCACAAATGGAATCAAACACAGGGCCAGGCATGATGGCACACCCTTGCAATCCCAGCACCAAGCAGGATGGAGATGCAAAGATCTCCATGAGCTGGAAGTCAGCCTGGCCTACACACACATACAGAGTTCCAGGCTAGCCTAGGCTACATAGCAGAGCTTTGCCAAAAAATCAAATATAGTGAGTATCAGCATGCATTGAAAGTTCACACAAGACAACCAGGCAAGGGGAGGCAGACGCGGGAGAGAGGGCCTGGGCTCGGCCCCAAGCACCTGCATGGTGACTCCCAGCCCTCCTAACTCTAGTGCGCTGGGACGTCCAATGCCTTCTTTTGCCCTCCAAGTACCAGACACGCATGTAGTTCATATAAATCCATGCAGGCGAGCCCTCATATCCACACAATTGTTAAAAAAGAAAAGAAATGGGGACTAGGAAGATGGCTCGCAGTTAAGAGCGAGGGCTGCCCTTTCAGGAGACCGGAGTTCAGTTCCCAGCAACCATATTGTGGCTCACAGCTGTCTGAAATGCCCATTCCAGGTGATCGGTGCCCTCTCACAGCTGTCTGAAATGCCCATTCCAGGTGATCGGTGCCCTCTCCTCTGGCTCCTTCAGCCATTGCACTCATGCAGTACACAGGCATACACTCGGGAAATAAATAAATAAATCTATCTTTAAAAACTGGAGTGTGAGGCTAGAGAGATACTCCTTTAATCCCAGTGCTATGAAGGCAGAAGCAGGCAGAGCTCTGAGTTCTAGGTCAGCCTTGTCTACATTCTAGTTCAACAAAACAAAACAACCCACTAGAGGCTGTTATGCTCAGACGGGATGCTGAAAAAGTTTAACTCTAAACAAAATACTTTGCTTGTTTTTGTTTTCTGTCACTTTAGAACAGGGTTTTACTATGTAGACCAGCCCAACTTCAAATAATCCTCCTGTCTCAGCTTCCAGTACAGCTTGGACTATAGGCATGTGCCACCTTTCCTAGCGAGGACTGTGTGATTTTGGTTTGTTTTTCTGAGACAGCAGTCTCTCTACATAACCCTGGCTGTTCTTGAACTCACAGACATCCACCTGCCTCTGCCTCCCAAGTGCTGTAATCAAAAGCCACTATGCCTGGCCTGACTGGATCAATCTGTTCAGGCTGCGGGTATCTGTGTTAATGTCCTCTAAGCATTTGCCTCATTCTGAAAAAGAGAGAAAAACCAACGTGGCCATTCAAGAACTAAATATAAAATCGGGGCCAATTTAGCACCAACATCTTACATCACTAAGCCAAGTTAGTTCTAAGGTCTTGACTTTGTTCTTACAGCTTCCGTTCAGCATCTGCTTTTACACTAGGGACAGCATAGCAGGGTCTTATGGATGGAAGTGGTGTGCACTCTCCCTAAAACTTACACACAAGTCATCTTTTTTATTTTGTTTTTGTTTTGTTTTGTTTGTTTTTAGCTAAGACGTTTATCCATGTTTGCCTCCGATTCATGGCAGCTGTGTTTGGACATTTAAAACTCTGCAAGAGAAACGCACTGACGACTTTAAGGACACTCCAGGTGCCACACTGTATCTGTTTAAACGCCTTGTTTCTTCTGACCCTCTCTCTCAACACTGCTGAGACTCAGAGAAGGCAGTGACCCAGTCAGCTTTGATTCTGCCTCTGCCCTACTCCAGAGACTCCGCGGTCCCACTGACACCTGGGCGATGTGAGCTGGCGGCTCGCGGCGGTCTACCCACCTTGGGGTGCCCAAGTGGCAGGCACTGAGGACAGCGAGGAGCGCGTGGGGAAGGACGCTGAGCACCAGCTGAGTGAAGCAGTGGCCCGTGGTGTCCCCTTCCCACAGCGGGAACAGTCGCGCCGCATCGGTGCCACACAGCTGGGCCAGGAGCCGCTCCATTGACGGACACCTCACCTGGGTGGAAGCCGAGAGTGACAGGGTTCGGGACCCGGTACTCAGGCAAACCCCGCCCCCGAGTCCGGACCGCCCCTCACTTCCGCCCATCCTTGCGGCACTTCCGGGGTTAGGTAGAAAGTCTGGGTACCCAGAGCGGGACAGTTCCTGGATCTGAGTTACTGACTCTGCTGCTTCTGTCTCTAGCCCCTCGGAGTCTAGAACTGCAAACCTAAAGACGTTTGCGCCAAGTTTTAATATCCCGAGTTTTGGTGGGGGAAGGAAGGACGCGCTGTCAGGTCAGGGGCGCTGGACCAAGGCCGCGAGGGCCCTCTAGAGGCAGGAAGACAGGTCGGCGGGTGCCTCTGCGCATGCGTACAGCTCTGCTGCCTAGCGCCTCTGCGAGCTGCTGCAAGCGCTTGGTTGTGTTAGGGCACGTTTCTGTCATTTTGCTTGCGCAGGGACCCAACCCTGTCCTAGTGCCAATTGCAGATTCATTTTTAGTGCCCTGTCATGTGGATTGCTCACTCCAGCTTATCAACTGCGTACTAGCTGGCACATGCACAGCACTTCTAATGTTTAAAGCGCTGGAAAGCTTTTAAACATGCCTGCCATGCTGAGGAACGTTTATCCTCATATCCTCAGGCTGCATGGTCTAATTTATTGGAACCTAGAGTTTTTACGATGGGGATAATAACACCCAAGTACTGTTGACTTGTATAAGTAATATATAATGCTCGTCAAGAGCTGAAGCGGTGGCTCAGAGCTCAGAGGTCAAGACTGTTTCCTGCTCTTGCAGAGGACCTGAATTTGATTTCCAGTACCCTGGTCAGGAGGCTCACAACTGCCTCTGGACTCAGCTCCAGGGACCCAAGGCCTTCTTGTAAGCACACACATATATACATATAATTTATTGTTATTTTTATAACTATTTGTGTGGTTTTTCGAGACAGGGTTTATCTGTGTAGCCCTGGCTTGCTGTGCTGACCAGGCTGGCCTCCAATTCAAAGATCCACCTACCACTGCCTTACCAGTGCTGGGATTAAAGACGTGCACCACCACTGCCCGGCCCATACATAGACTTTTTTTATAAAAAAGAATGCTCAAGTCAAGTGCTTTGCTTAGTCATTCCTAAATATTTCATAGAAATGAGAAGAATGGAAATTTGGTTATGCAGATGGATGTGGGTTTGAATCCTGACCCACCAATTTTAGTGTGATGACATTTAGGCAAGTTACATTTTAGCTTTATGTTTACAAGGCATGTATATTGGTATCTACTTCAAAGGAGTATACAGTGTTGTGGGGATAGTTTTTTAAAAAAATCATTCTTGCCTTCAGAAACTGAAGACCTTGCAACAAGGTTGAGACATTTGAAACTATATGCCCAGTCTGTTTCCTTGTTGTGTATTTAATCTGGTTAACTTGCCTTTAAGAAAACAATGTGGTCAATTTTACTATGCCTTGGGCTTCTCATATAATCAGCATTTACAACCTATGTCAAATCCATAGTTTTCATCTTAAATTAGTATTCTTCCAAGTCCCTGATCCAGACAAAATAGTGTGTGTGTGTGTTAATTGTTTGCTAAAAGCAGCCAATATGTTGAATGCAACCTCAAGGAAACAAATATTTACCACAAATGTTAGAACCCAAACCCAAACCCACCTGATGTAGGAGTGGGGTGAAGAGGCAGACCGGTCTCTGTCTCCATGAGTTCAAATCCCGTTGGTTTACATAGCAAGTTTCATGACAGTGAATGCTGCACAGTGAAACCTTGTCTCAAAAATATTTTTGGAGCCAGTAAACAGAGAAACCCTGTCTCAGGCTATATGGAAGAAGAAAGCCCTCATTCCTTTCCAATACGATGTTTTATGTTCTATAAATATATGGCAAAGACCTTTGTTAGGGACAGATGTCACACACAGGACCACGGTTAATAGAAAGAGTAGACAACAGAGACAGAAGATACAGGGAGAGAAATGGAGAATTCAAATTTGGGCTCACTCTTGGCTTAAACCACTCCAAGAGGAAGAATCATTTTTCCTCGCTGAGTAGACACAGGGTCTACCTCACATGAGGATCTCCCTGAAGAAAGATAGTTTAACAGATAATTGTGATGTTCCCTTTGGGTCACAATAAGAAGCCCTAAATTCATTCATTCATTCACTCATTCCTTTTCTTATTTATGTTTATTTTGTGCATATGTGTGTATTGCTTGCATGTATGTCTGTGCACCACATTCATGCATTGCCTGCAGAGGCCAGGAGAGTCAGATCCTCTGGGACTAGAGTTATAAACAGTCGTGAGCTGCCATGTAGGTGCTGGGAATTGAACCTGGATCCTCTGGAAGAGAAGCCAGTGCTCTTAACCACTAAGCCAGCTCTCCAGCCCAACTGATGTTTTTTAAGAGGATATTTTCCCTGGTTATCCACAAAATCTCTCCTCAGTGTTATCAACACACCCCCATATTCCATGACACATTAGGGGTGGTTCTACCCATAGAAGGAATAAGAAGAAAGTTGTCAAGGTGGATTTAAGAAGTAATGGGATTTTTTTCTTGAAGATTATTGGATCGGATCCTCCATACTTCCAAGGGAAAGATGCATTTTCATGAGCTCACTGAATTCATAGCTTACTGATTGGCTAATTGGCTAGACTAGCTGGCCAGAGAGTTCCTGGGGTCTACCTGTCTTTATACCTCCTCCAGTGCCGGGGCCCAACCACACTCAGCTGCTACATGGATGCTGGGGGTTTGAACTCACGTCCTGCTGGTGAGACAGACAGGCACTTTAGTAAGTGAACTATCACCGTAGGCCCCCAAACACAGCCAGAGTGTAGCAGGCAATTTTTAACCTATCAGACATTTTCCCTGCACCTCTCCTCAGCTTTGGGTAGAACTGCAAATTGGATGTAGGAAAGACTCAGAAGGAACATTCCTTTCTCTTGGCTACAGGGATTGGCTGAGGGAGGCTATGTTAAAAGAGCAGCAGTGAGGGGCTGGAGAGGTGCCTTAGAGGTTAAGACCACTGCTGATCTTGTACAAGGTCAAGTTCAGTTGCCGGCACCCACATGGCAGTTCACAACTTCCTGTAGCTCCACTTTGCAGAGGACCTAACATCTTTTTTTGAACCTCTTAAACGCCTGCAGGTACACAGTGAACACATATACACTCAGGCACACACACACACACACACACACACACACACACACACGTGTGCGTGCTCGCTTGCTCGCTCGCTCGCTCACTCACTAAATAATTCGTTTTTAACAGAGGAGGGAATGTTATCTCTGGGAGTTCCGCAGCAACTCTTGACTGAGTGTGAATCTGAGGACTCTGGGCCTGGCTCACATCAGCTTTATTGAATTCTGGGGGAGATGCTAATATGGAAGCAGCAGACTTCAACTTTGGCAACGCCCCTGAACTCCTGCCTCCTCTTCAGCGACCTTTCTCCAGGCTTATTTTTTTAATCAAAGGAAAATCATATTTGATACCCATTTTACTGATTTTTTTCACTTACTATTCAGCTATACTCATTTTAAGCCTAGACATGTAAATGTAATACTTGACTTAGCAGCTGCATGAGGATCCTAGAATAGTTATTGTTTATTTTCATTTTTACAAACAAGGTTTTCGTTCCTCTCTGACACCAAACACAAATCTTTCCCAGTGCACTCTCCAGCTCTCTGGGTCTTCCATGCTAATCCAGCCACCACGCCCAGCACGTGAAACCCATGGGTGAGGGGACCCCTCTCATGGCTGTCCCCGCTTCAGATAGCTGATGGAAGTAATAGGCACTTCCATTTGACATCAGAGGAAGAGGAGGAGAGGGAGAAGGGGGCGGAGGAGGAGGAGGAGGAGATAAGAACAAGAGAAAGAAGAGGGAAGGAGGTATCACTGTGTAAACCGAGGCTGGCATCAACTTCATACCCTGCCCTGCTGTTCTGAGTGTGAGTGCTGGTTCGTATGTAAGGCTAAAAGTTCTGTCACTAACCATGTATTTAATCTCAGGGTATAACTCTGTGTTTAGCAGTTGATCAGAACACCAAACGATTTTCCAAAGTGTTCCCACATACTGGTCATTGTTTGTTACTGCCTTTTAAAAATGTTGGCCACCATAATGGGAGTCATATAAGTTTCCTTTGACATTAATTTCTATTTCCTTAATGTCTAATAATACTGAACATGTTTCATGCTGGCTGCCTAGTTGTACATCTTCTTTGGAGAAATGTCTCTTCAAACCCCTAGGATAGATTTGATTTCTTTAAAAAAAAATGTTTATTTTATTTTAGAGGTCAGAAGAGGACATTGTATCTCCTGGAACTGGATTGATATGTGGTTTCAAGGTGACATGTGGGCACTAAGAACCAAACCCAGGCCCTCTGCATGAGCATGGTACTCTTAACTGCTGAGCCATCTCTCTCCAGCCCCAGGGTAAGTTTACTTCTAATTAACTCATAGTCCACGGTTGCAGTCCTTTAGGACTTTACTGGGAGTATCTAAGCCCTATTGAGCTGACTTTTGAATTTCTCCTTTTTTGGACAAAAATAATTATGAGTGTGTGTCTTTGGGGCTATGTACACATGGGCACATATGCCCAGGATGACACCAGAGAGTGCACACAAGCGTGGAAGCAGCTCCACCTAGAGGTGAGAAAATATAACAGCCATTTTCGCCAGGAACCACAGCACCTGGAATCATAGTGTAATTACAAGTTTTTGCAAACCTGAGTATCAAGAATAGCATTTGTCATCTATAACTGAGCAAACCTTCTGCACACCCTGAACGCCACACCCGTTTGCTAACTTACCTCACTCTCCCATTTCTTGTGCTTCAAATAGACTGCTCTGGCCAAAATAACTGGTTGACTACTCTCTGGTCAGTAGATAGTGCGCTCATGTCTTTGCCCCACTCTCATTTGCTCTCATTTGCTCCCTGGGAGTATAACTAGGTTATGGAGGGTCTTACTATGTAGCCTTGGCTGGACTGGAACGCCATATGTAGATTAGGCTGCCCTCTTTATTCATTTGTATATTTAGGTTTTCCGAGACAGGG